GCTATTTGCATTAAAAAATGCTAACTGATCAAGGCAACTCGTGGAGGACATCGCTAGGCTTCGGCACCCCGTTATCGCGACATTGGAAGCTGAGCATACTCCCTGAAAGGAGGTAGAGATAAAAACAAAGAAACTGTCAATAGCAAAGAACGAAAAATAAGGCTAAGCGTCGGAAAGAATCCAGAAACCACAAAACACAAAGTCGAAAGTTGGTAAAGAATAACCAGTTTTGGCTCCATGGCTATGTATTTCAGTAGAAGAACGTTATGTTTTCCGATGACGCTAAAACAAAACATTAAAGAATCAGAGAGCAATCAAAGACAATGAAGAACGTTCGTAAAACAAGAACTCGCAGTTTAGCATCAAATCAAAGCGAAGCAGGACGACTAATAATAAGGTGACACGGAAAGTTGGTAAGCCACACATCTTATAAGGTATTGGATGCTAAATATCAGATCGGATTTATCATGAAAAAAATGTCGTCTCACACAGCTCTCAAAACTTTTGGTAAGGTTAGGGGGGCAGGAGAATTCGAGCACATGGCATAGTTCTAGACCAGTATAGTGTTCCTTTCAGGTTTGCTGGCGCTGTCATCAGCGCTCCAGTGACAAGCAACAGCATATGAAGTATGAAAGTGAAGAAGATTCGCGTGATCCTCGTACAAACTTCTTATCTTCGAACAATAACGTCGAGAGAACCTAGTTTGGCCGGACATAAACTCCTTTTTTCTATTTTCAGAGCCTGCCTCCGATGGCAGTCTTTGACGATTCTAATTGTACAGGGTGAGACAGTCAAACCGTACAATACTACCCATAAGCATTTAAAAAAGCACATACAAACGGTTTTTTAGCTGTAAATTGCAACAAATCTTGAGAACTGCAACTAAATGGAAATTTCAAGTAAAACATCATACATTCAAACTTTCACAATACAGCATATGGAATGTTCCTTTTTGTTTATGCCTTCAGTAGGTGATGACCAGTATTTTAAACATAATAACTAAGTTACGTGCTGAAATTCTCAGCATCGCCGATATTGTGGCACGAACATCTTGTTCAATCCGATACTTCGAATCTTGTGTCGTTATTAGACCTCTAGGTCTTGCCAGTTTTCCATGACGTGGACAGTTTGCATTCCGACAGGCACCGCGCGAAATCCTCAGCTAGAATTTTGACTATAATTTGTAAAAAACTCTTCAGATGCTTTATTTGATCCTCTCTAGACCTGGCGCCGTGCGAACTTCTTCAAAATGGATGCATGGCAAATTTTGTTGTCTGTCTGTTTGTATGTCGTTTTATGCGTGTATCTGCGAAAAGTCAAAAGTAGGCGCGGTGAGGAATAAGGTGTTATAAAAATCTGTTTTACCAGTTAAGGTTCAGTCTGCGGCAAAAAAATGGGGAATGACCAGTAGGGATCATTTTCTGAATCCATCGACTCTGAATCACAACTTCTCTATTCTTTGCCACAGGTAAATCTTATTTATTGTAACACCTGTACAACACCTCACGAAATTATTAAAAATAAGAAGGTCACTAAACGCTGTATGTTTTTGTCCTCTAACCAATTCGGATCATTTTGTAACATGATTGACTGGGGATCATAACTTCACTATTTCAACGTGGGTAGCTGCTGGTCTTCCATTAGCAAGAAGGGCGAAAGATCCCAATGATCCTTCTTCATATCACACTTATACTATATAAATGCTTTGATTGGGTTTTTTCTTCATGTAACTTTTATTTATCCCCAATTTTTGATAATTTTTGTAAGGAGTTCTCTGGATTGCTCTTTTTCAGCGAACGATGACTTCGTTTCTGGTATTGAATTTAAAGGAAGAATCAAGAAGCACAACGAGTAGGAAGATGATTTTAGATACATTGGATCTCATATGCATTGCCTAATGCTCTAGAATCTCACATTCAATATCTTTGGTTGAAACAAAAGTTATATCGCCTTTATGTACAATGGTCATTATTGCTGTACTCGAGTACCAAAGCCAGAAACGGCGATCCATGTTTTCAATGAAAAATTACAATTCGTACTATGAAGTTCGTACTATGGAAAGGGTTTCTCGGCTATGTCTTGTGTACCTCGAGCAGGGATGATCTACTGGACCACTGTGGCGCGCGACAGCCACGAATGGAGCCACGACTGACGCCTACCTGAGGAAATTGATGATCAACCAGGGGAGAGGTGACATGTGACAGGTGAGGTGCTTATAAAAAGTGTAAGAAGACCATTTCTATTTTGTGCTAATAACCCTGCAGAAAATTTTAATAGCATGACCTGGTCCTGAGATTGATCTCTGAACATAAATTGACGAAAACACTCTCCTTTCCTACCGATACCATTTTGCAACACTACGTTACGATGTACGTGAACTTATCAAGGTGTCAGTGGGTGCCGCCTTCGTTTCGTCTTTACTGATGGACCTACCTGCTATTTCATGGAAATTTTCGAGACCAAAGAAAGATAGTATGTTGAATTTGAAGTTACCACCTGTCGAAGCCCACTCAGTTGACTTCCTACAGGCACATCGAACCCTTATAATAGATACAACACGGGTGTGAAGATAAGTGGGAGTACGGACATGTATGGGGTGTTCCTTGATCAGTCTGCGTGCGATCAACCTGACCAACTCTGCCGCTCAATTTGTGTTTCTCCAAACCGCCATCGACAGTCGTGTGATGTCGCCTGACTAATTTCCCCATAAATACCCCACGTGTGAACATCTTACGATTACATTCTGATTATTTTGGGCTAAAACTAGATTAGTACTGGACTAATCGCTTCTTCTCGAAAATGTTCCTGTCTGAAATGCTCGTTCATACAGTCATGATGGTGTTTTCTCGAGTAGGAACACTCCATATCAACCTTCTTCCAGCAGTGCATTGGCTACTGTGATTCTTCAAAGTTACCCTTTGTTACCCTCCTATGGTCACTTTCTAATCATAGTTTTTTCGCAGCATAACAAACGATCCCTTCTCCACTTCCGAACTTTCTTTGTCTCGTATTTCGTCTGCAAAAACACGCGATCCGATCGTGACCCACCCCTATCGGTCAGACATCGCTTCTTTATCAGATCGACCCGAATGCAACGCTTTCCAAAAACTGTCCTGCTTTGATTATCCGATGGCGGTCATTCCCAGTGAGCTTACTGGGATCATTCACTATCTTTACTCATGTTCGTAAGTAGGAGCCATAAGAAAAATGATGATTTTACACCGGGCTCACCATTCCAAGGCGGCCCTTCCTTTTTGTATTTCGCAGTTGCTAGTTCTAATAAAAACTACCAAGTTTGAATAATAATAAAAGAGTGACGAATTGTGGGTATATTGGTAGTCACAAACGAAATCAATAAAGTTCGATCTTGTTCCGGGATGAGATGTAGTGTCTCAGAACCGATCCATGTCTTGTTTCCGGCACTCCCTATGAATAGAACCAAATCCGCAAAGATGCTGATCAAAAAGCCCTTTCACTTCTTTCTTCATAGATGACGAAGGCGATCTTTTGGACCAAAAGATTTCTCTCGATGTGTGACTTGAATATGCGAGGATCACACGCCGGCGCATTGTCCCCAGAAAAACGTTCACCGCAAAGGATATAGGTATGATCCCCCCGAAAAGACTTTGTTATTCATCAGCTCTATTGTTCTTATCGATCATTTTCGATTATCATTTTACCAATTTGTAGAACCTAGTAATGGAAAACGAATCGGTACTAGTTTTTGAACTATGAAAAGAGCAGCGCTTACCTCAGGAATCGTTATGCGTGTATTATTCTGCCGTAGCCTTTCTGATGAGGAACCGTATCGTCTCAATGCTTTCATATTATTGCCTTGAAGATGTGCTCGATGTGTTCTTCATTACAATGAAGTTTCATTCGCACGGACCAACTTCTTGAAGGATAGAGAATTGTGATTTTGCGAGGAGTTGCTTGTCATTGTTCCGTGCTTCAATTGCCCGAACTTTATAGTTCCTTGCTCGGATCGGAACGTTTCAAGAGAGTATTCTAAATACATAACCTTCAATAGTATGACCCTCTGAGCTGCCACCACAAACGACCCACTCACCTGTCCACTTCCTCTTCTCCAATGATGAGGGGCCGAACAAGATGGAAGGAGTGCCTTCACTTTGTTTGTTATGGCATCCGAAGCCCTCCTCTCCAAGTTTACTATAACGCCTTTCTCTACCTTCACGTTCTAAAAAAAGCCAACGCAGTTATTCTCGTTGGCCCTGTTGGTAGCTCTGCCTTGATGGTATTCACGGAGTAGATTAAGAATAGTATGGGTTCATATCAGCGTAGACCTGAGCGAAATTCTTCAGAAGTACGGCTCAAATCGAATCAGTGTTTTGTAGGTTATAAAAGTATTCATCAGTGCATTTCACAAACGTAGTAGGATCGTGCTGTGCATGCTCATGCAACCATATGTTCACAGCTTCTTTCAATCCCAATCCAAAAGTCTTTCCAACGTTCAGTTTCGATGCTGTTCTTGAGCTTTGAACCATTCTGGTTTCCCCACCTTCTCTGTTATCACGGCCTTCAGAGCACTACCACTTCATTTTACACCCCTTATTGTATGAATCACTCGAACACGTCATCCGTCTTTAATTGTTTTTTATAGTTACAGCTACTATAGTATGGCGCACTTGAGCACGTCATCCCATTTCACATCTAACCGCTTTTTATAGTTAACAGTACTTACTTGCTTGTAAACAAAGGCCCTGCACCCATATTACCAGTTACGATAGCCACGCTCAACCGATTGTTGTGCAGTACAGTGGCTAAGTTGCTACAGAGTAGAAGTAAACATAGTTAAAGTGAGCGAATAAAGAAGGAATGGCATTCGTCGTTGCAAAGTTGTTTCGCTCACTGCTTTTGTTTGAAGTATTTTATTGTTTCATTTAGTGAACGTTATATGATATTCCCTACTTCACAAGGGTACCAGGCAATGAAGATTGTGAACGCACTCATTTTCGGAACTTTAATCTTTTAGAGTCGCCATGCAGATTACGAAGGTGTTGATCGCCGACGACATCGAGAAGGAATGCGTAGACGTCTTGCAAGGGAATGGTGTTGAGGTAGCAGTTAGGCATTCAAAATATGAAGCACGGATCTGTTACTGTAACATTCAATTTCAGGTGACAGTAAAGACGAAGCAGACGGTGGACGAATTGAAAACGTCGCTGCCAGCTCATGATGCAGTGATAGTTCGTAGCGCTACAAAGGTAGTTCGTTTCGACGAGTGATTGGCTTAGAAACTTGGTCTATCCATTAATGCTCAGGGTATGGATTCGTATAGGCGGCGTTTTTTGCTGAAAGCTCGGAGAACCCTACTGAAATCACGCTCCACCGTAGTGAAACATACTACATTACGACTCCCACCATCTTAATTCTTTGATGCTAATTTCTAGCGTTCACCTATCCTGTTTTTAATGTTTGTACTCTAAAGCAATGGCACTTTCAGATCACACGAGAACTGATCGAAGTTGGAGCAGCTGGCCGTCTGAGGCTAGTCGGAAGGGCTGGCACAGGTGTAGACAACATTGATGTCGAAGCCGCTTCGCAAAACAAAGTGCTGGTCATGAACACACCTCGTAAGTTTTGAATAAAGGAATTTAAAAGCTCTGACATGTGTATGGCCTAAATATAGTAGCTCACCTGCCAACACCGATCCCCGACCTGCCAATGTACAATTCAGTATTTTTAGCCTTACAATCTGGCGCCATTTAATTAATTATTGATGGATGAAAGGGCTTACAGCCCTCAGCATGTGATCTTCAAGTGCTCGATCATTTGACATATTGAAACCCAACTTTTAAGAAACTTCTAGGCGGTCATTAGTCAATATCGTAGTTCACATCTACTAATCATGTGAGTTTTATTGGTAGCTAGTCGCACAACTTGCAAATTTGGTCCTTTTCACCTTCATATTAGTCGGCAATGCGACTACGCCTTAAAGATTCCTACTCGATCGTGTTCGGTCGTGTTTATTGATCTTCCCACTTGGAACTTATTTCGCTAAAATGTTTGAACTAGCTGTTCACTTGAGCTGTTCGGCACGGAGGATACAAGCGAAGATAATGATGAGCTAAACCTTGAATGCCTTCTCGACAGAATTTCAAAATATATCTCGCCCGGTTCTTCAAACCCCAAGATTCAGATTGAAATTTCATCGTCTAGAGGTAAAATACAACACTCAATGAAGTGGTTGCACCCTCAAATCATCAGCCAGATCACACGCTAAATATGCAGTCGAAGAATATAACAATAATGAATCAAGTCACATTGTATGAACTGTCCCTCACCGTCACCCTAGGATGAATTTTTTGTATTAATGAAAACTATAAAATTGGGGAAAAAATTCATGTAGAGCTCAGTTCCGATCGGCACTTAAGCTAGATCTTCATGCGGCTTTTTAGCGAGAACTTCCCAGTCCCAATGTGAATAAAAGTCACAACTAGTTCAAATACAGATGCAAACTATGTTGTTCCAGAGGCGAATTCACGATCCGCAGCCGAACTCACTTGCATTCTAATTCTCAGCCTGACTCGCCATGTTCCTCAAGCTGATGCCTCCATGAAGGCTGGGAAATGGGCCAGAAAGGACTTCATGGGAGAGGAGGTTTGTAATGTTCATAACAGCAAACAATTTGAAGGAAAATTGTGGTGTCAGGGAAGCACTTCATTGTTGTAGGACCAAACGATAGTGATAAATATTTTGCCAGCCGACACACACATGCACACTCACCCCCATGCGTTACAATGCATAACATTATATGTCTTACCATTAAGGTATCATTCTTACCAACACAAATATACCCACAGCGAACCATACACACAAATACACAAAGACACGTACGTTCTAAAAGTGTCCATTATGCCCAATCGAACGCACTGGGAATACACCCACAGACAAATACAATTACGTACACTCCTTTGGAAACAAGTCGTCTATCAACCGTGGTATCATTGGTATCATCATAATACATAAGAAACCCAGATAGAGGTTTGGGTAGAGATAAGGGAATCTAGTTTCGTAAATATTCAAATCTGGTATTGAACTCTCGAAATGTTGAACTTTATTAACAGGTCGTTAAGTAGATATGCGTAAGCTAAAAATCAAGAGTTATTTGCAGATATTTGGGCGTACGTTGGCGGTATTGGGTTTGGGAAGAATAGGCTCAGAAGTGGCCAGTCGTCTGCAGGCGTTCGGTATGCGAGTTATCGGATACGATCCTATGGTTACGAAAGAGGTTAATCTTATTTTACCAAAACAGCTCAGGCTAGTCTTCAGGACGTCATTATTACAGGCAGCAGCAGCGAAGAATATCGAATTGCTCTCGTTGGAAGAAATTTGGCCTCAGGCTGACTTTATAACTGTGCACGTCCCGTTGATCCCTGAAACAGCAAATCTCATCAATGCCAAAAGTAAATTATAAAGGTATTTTTTAAAAAAGTCATCATGGAATCTAAATGATAAGTTTCAGCGCTAGCAAAATGTAAAAAGGGGGTAAAGATCGTCAACGTGGCACGAGGAGGCATTGTTAACGAGAAAGATCTGGTCGATGCCTTGAATTCTGGCCAAGCAGGAGGGGCAGCGATCGACGTTTTCGAAGAGGTGAGTCCTCTAACCAAGTGTGAAGTGAGAATCTTTGACCATAACTGTCGTACAAAGTTTCTAAGGTAAAAAATAGCAAGTAATTAGGGAATTAGATTGTAAATCAAAAATTTAGTTGAAATCGGAACTAAACTTCTTAATTATATACTAAATTGCAAAAAAAAACGAGGTTTTTGCTCTGGCTACTAATATACGGTGCCAAGTATTGTGAAGTGATATTAAGGTAGGCAAATGGTTGACTGATAGAAGCAGGTACAGCAGTGATAATATTATCCTTAGTTATTGGTTGCTTTGAATCCAAAGATACAACAACCGATCTTTTCGACCAACAACTAATGAAGTCGTCGAAGTCATCTATTATACATACCATCCCCAATGAATCTTGTAACTGATAATTCCTAATGTATTCTGAGATTGTTCGAAGTTTGATTTTGATTGAGACTATGAACAATCAGTGATTTTTGGTCGCTGAGGCTTCTCTAATGATATAGTATGTGTTTGCTTCATTTCTAAGCTTTGACCCACTAGCACTCAATACCTCATTAAAGGCTTGTTACTTATCATTTCGAGGGAGTTTGTTCCCTTTTCGATACACCTTCTGTTTGACGTCTGATCTGGTTTTGCTTTTTAGAAATAGTCTTGCAAAAAATGCTACTCGTTATAATGGCCTGGGTGTTCAGCTCGATTCAGTCGTCCCTTCTCGGTATCCAGAAACCACCCTGCGAAAGGAGGAAGATTTTTGCCGCTAAACACATAGCCGCTGAACATTCAAATGTGAAATGTGAAAGTTCATAATGAAAACTTTTGAAACCTCACCAACGGCCGAAAATATGCCGTTCACAATTTTTCCTTCCTGCTGAGGATTATCGAGCTTACCTCCGCGAGTCCAATTCGGGCTTTTCTTCAACATTGACTTTTTTTGACCAGCACTGTATTTAGCAGTATCCCATCAAATCTGACAAAAGTATTTGCATTTAGTTGTAACCATTTCCTATTCTACCAACTCCAAAATCGCATGAGACTTTGCAGATCCATTTATTTATAAATTATATATTTGCTATATTCGGTGGGGAATCACTGCTGATATGGTTGCTACGAAAAGGCTTACTACCACAAACGTGATTTGGACTTCTAGTTTGGAACCCCTGAATGCCTCACACCCAATTCCCCTCCTCCTTTCCCCCTCTACAATCGTTTAGAGTTGTGGAAGGATTTAGTTGTTTGTAATCCGCATGTAGCGGTGTTCCACGAGACCACCATAATAATGAAGGGCTTTAACAATCCTCTCTAGCATAACTCGTTTATTGGAGGAACGCTCAAATGAAATGGAGGAGAATCGCAACCTGATAAGAAGTAGGTGATCGCCATTGCATTTCTTTATAGCAATGAGAAATAAGCAACAACAATGATCACCCCCACTTTGTCTCAGGTTCCTTTATCCTGTACAGTCCCACTTTGGTAATAGATTTACGTGAATCTAGTCAGTACGTCATAGGTAGCCTGAACACTACCGAAATTTTGTAGCAGTTTGCTTCAGTGAAGAGTCTTTATTCAATTTTTCATACGACTAAGCATGAGGAGTGATCTTCATTTCATTTCATTCTCATTTCGACAACTTAGTTGGTCCTACGGTACGAATGAAACTGCGAAAATAGAAAATTTTAGGGGAAGATAATCCCAGAGTATGATGGCTTTTCCAGGAACCTCCAAAGTATCGTGCTCTGGTGGAGCATCCGAAGGCCATTTGCACTCCTCATCTGGGCGCTTCAACAATCGACGCTCAATTGAGAGTGGCAACGGAGATTGCCGAGAACATCGTTCAATTCAACAAGGGGAAAGTGCTCGGAGTGGTCAGTTGATCTCGACTTCCTCGCAACTATTTAAAAGCCGTTAAGTGCTCATTTTCAGCTCAATGCCAAAGAGGTACTGTGACGGAAATAATGATGCTCTGGTCGTTGCAGTTTATTTATTTGTTAAATTTGTACAATAAATTATTCACAGTTTTTCCGCTCGTTCCATTTTGCACTAGCTACTCTTCCAAGTCATTCTTCGTAGGGAACATTCGTGTTACGGCGCCACAGTTCAAATTTTCTCCTTTCGCCATAAGGACCTTGAAGTGAGCACGAAGTGGCCGATGGTTGATCACGTACGGCCAGATTTGACAGCTTAGCAGAAAATGCATTTGTAGTATACATAGACACACCTAAGATAGTCAGAAGTTCGCAGTAAGTCAAGTGTGCACGGCTTCCCTACAACTAGATAGTTTGCTATGGCTGTAGACATTATGTCATGCGTGTTCAGGTCTTAGTGTTCGCAATCGTGAGTAATAACAATGCAGTAAAAGGCTGAATACCTTACTACTGAACAGAGAAATAATAGCCCCTTGTTAGCAGGCGTTTGCTGAATGGCAATTCAAACTACAATGTAAGCCATCAGTTTCCTTGGTATTTCAGCTGCTCTATAACAGAACACCCGTCATCATAAAGATACAGCACCAGTGCGTGATAGGCGGACTGGTATGGTCATGATAATCTCACGCATAGCAGTTATAAAGAAAGCAAGTATTGGAATCTTTATAACTGCTATGCGTGAGATTATCATGACCATACCAGTCCGCCTATCCTATATGCAAATATTGGAATCTCCTGATTAGTTTTCTTTCCTCAACTGTCGTTTATACTGCTGTAATCGGGATGTGGTTGGGTAAAATCAGCCTGTCGCCCGCCTCCCTTCCAAGTCTGGACGCTCTGGTACAATGGAGAAGATGGTATGACAGACACCAACAGACACACTTGGCGCGTTTTTATAGTAGGATTGTTGTTGAAAATGTAGTTGGTGGGTGCCAGGCACTTTTGTGCTCTTCGTTTCTTACCCCATCTAATCATCCACTCATCCCGGAGCTCCTCCCCTTCTAAATGTTAGGGAAGGAGCTACGGGGTGGATGAACCAACTGGATGTTCAATTCTTACCCCATTCAAGCTTTTTGCACGAGATAATCATCTCTCCCACTCCGGAGCTCCTCCCATAACTTTTAGAAGGGGAGGAATCCACTCTGCGATCTCTATGCACCCTGCCGCCGGTATCAGAGACGCAGAGCACAAAAGGGCGCTGGCACCCCCAACTACATTTTCACCGGGTTGTTCGTCTTCAGACGGGAGTGGAAGCACAAGCCTGTCCCTAAGGGCATGATATACTAGTAATCACTCTCTCAATACCGTTTCACATCACGCTCCTTTTTGCAATCCTATTACTCTACCAGCCGTTGCGTTCCTAATGAGGAACGAATTGCGACGATCTCAGATGGGAGACGGTTACATTGCTCAATTGCTCTTCGCCCTTTTTCACCAACTCGGTACAGCTTTTTTTTCCGAAAATAATGAAAGTTGTTGCTAATTAGCTGTTGATCAGTGAGCGACCCTAGACATCATTACCCACAGATGATGCGTGAACAGGAGCCTTTGCCAGGGACAATCTGAACAAATACCTTTGGTATGAAAATAATCAATTAGAAAAGTAGCAAATGTGAATCATTTGAATTGCATAAGACAGGATATAACCCCTGCTGACAACTCCTACTCAATAGCATCGGGAAAGTAGTCATGACATTTTCGTCTTGAAGGGAATATTTTATGAGTGGGACGTCCTCAACTGTCATGCAGGTGAGCGCTTCGCTTCCTTTCATGGTTGACAGGTGCTCTTTTTTAGAATAAATTCGAAGGAAGGCTTATAAGAAATACTTTATTCTGTTTTTATGGCTGGTAGCCCATTCCCTTGACAACCACTTCAATTACAACTTACAAGCAGTACATATTAACTATAAATATCTTATTCACTGTAATTAACTTTGAACAACGGCGGTTAACAAAGGGCAGTGGTGCTTGTTGCCTGGAGGTGGTAATAGTAAATGGCTGAGAGTACCGGACAGAATATCAAAGTTGCTCGAAAGAAAGTTTGCTCGAACATAGCAAGCCAGTTGAAGTAGAGGGCTTGATAAATGGTCATTTAAATTCCTTTCCTGGCTTGAAACCAATTGAGGTTCTTGTAGGCACACTGAAAAGGTAAGTAAGCATGATGAAAGATGAAATTTCAAATCGATCCCTATTCTATTACTCTGTATTCATTATTCTTCGTTTGTTTCCGGCTCGTCTGCGAATGTATCTTCTGCCAGACACATCTTCAAATTGCATCCATTCTGTTAGTTTCCCATCTTTTAAGGTGAGCAGTCTTATGACAGTAATACCATGCACACGAAAAGTGATCAACTTCCGCATTCACCGTAACCCTGAAAGTGCACGAAGATACTAGCGAAGGTGCACTGAGATTTCTGCATTTCATTTTAGTTTTGATCTATATCGAAAATTCGTTATTCAAGAGGTGAAGCTGCAGATTTCACCCCGGAAGTGTTCTATAATATTGGATTTCCTGAAGAGATCTTGCAATCCTGCGAGTCTCTCACTTTCTGCTTAACTTCCGTTTCCTTATTAGCTTGTTTTTTGCTTGGTCTAGCGTGATATTGCTAGTTCAGCAGCTGTCTGCGATATGAAAGTTACTCTTGACGATCTCTGTTCTCTTGAGGATTGACAGAAAACACACAATTTCCTGAAAGAGAACCAAGAATTCTATTTTATCGCTTCGTGAAATGGTTTCCAATTTGTTGAAAGTAAATGAAGCGACTCTCATTCGAGGGTCTTTGGGTTGGAGAGACAGTACAAGCACCTATGAGATGGCTTCAGAAAACACAACCATCACGTCATCTTTTGGAGAAGGTCGTAATTTCCATCAAAGATGGTAGACACGTTGAAGACTGGCGTTCACTCTACTGGAAACCTTCTTCGTAATTTCAAAAATTTTCCTCACCACTGTTATCTGAACGAGAGGAAACCATGAAATAAGTAGGAAGTATGACAGAGCAATGCTGATTCCGCAGAAGCCTGCTATTTCCAATTTCATAGCAGTCTAGAAGAGTCACGTTTGGTTAGCAATAGCCTGAATCGACAGATGTATGTGTGTTTGTTGTTGTCAACTCAAGATGTTTTCGATCATTCGCAGCAGAAATTGAGTCTTCCTTCGCTGAGAAACTTCATATGATGCCTATATAGGATCATACTTTATGTATCGCCACTGATAATCTTCCTTTTTTACGGAAAAATCTAAAGAAGCTCACTTTCTACGTGGAAAGCTCGAAAGTAAAGAGGCAGTCCAGAAAGAAATCGATATACTTAAAGGATAAAAGGATAAAATTTTTGGCGTTAATCAATCCCGTCTAAGGGATGCGCCCGCGCACTCACTTCCATTCAGAATCGCAGTGGCGGTAATTAGTGCGTATGTAGCCTATACAATGACTTGCGGTGGCCAGCCGATGTTCAAGTGAGTGCTTTTATCCTCCCAAACGAGTCTGGTACCAAGTAACCCACCCCAGTAGGATGGAAGGCTTGGTTGGCCTAAGCGGATATCGATCCGGGATTCGAACCCCTGACCGTACGCGTGAGATAGTGCGTCACGTTACTCAAATGTTACTTGAACCTTCACATACTTTTTGATTTCACTTCGTATATGCTTCGTACTAAGGAGCTGNAACACTGAAAGAAAGTCATGACTACTTCCAAAAAGAGGTGTTAAGTTAATCAATGAGAATCAGTTCGAAGGAGCAGTTGATATTGGAGTTTCCAAAGAGCATTTGGGCCACTGTCGGAACTTAGGGACTGATCAATTAAATTTCAATTTTATTATGTGTTGATAGCCCACTAATGGGTATTCTCGTTTTGCATTCCGATTAAAGTATACTCCGTCATTCTCTGAGCTCGAAGCTCATCAGTTTCGAGATCACAAGTAGGACTTAAGCGGTGCGGTTTGAAATCCAATAAGAGGCATACCGTTATGATTAATTTATTGACCAGGACATATTTATGGACCGTAAATGGAAGTAATACATAACCACTGAGTTCTATCACTTTGGAATATGAAAAATGAATATCTGAGTAACGTGACACATCATGCATAACCGTCAGAGCTTCTTTCATCCACTTGCAGCAGTAGATTCGTTCGTGTTATTCGAAGTGGCGTTTGACTTTTTGTCCATTCTTTTGCTCCTGAAATCGTTCATTGATCATCCCTGTTCTGTCATTCATCATCTTGTGAGTGAAGCCCATTTCGGATGCTGACAAATGAACTTAATATAGAACCTTAAAAAAGAATTGAAAGCAGATAGTTGTTCCAAACTCCATTCTCCCAGCTCAGTTGAATTGCAGCTCAATAAACGCTGAGACATTCTGAAGTTCTACGTCTTTTCGCAGAATTGCAACCTTTTTAGGAAGTGAGACCTAGCCAGGTCTCTGTGCAGCTGAAGTTCCAGCCAAAATGAAAAGGTAGCGGTTACTGTCGAAGAAATATTGAAGGAGCCAGAGCTACAGGTGAATCAGAGGAAAGGTCTACAGCCCCTCTATCTCTGCGCTGTTATGGGTTCTCTCAAATTCGCAGCACGTAGCTTCTAGAAAAATCAACAACAACTTTATACAAGCATATAAAATTCAGAATTTATCTCAACGGATCAAAGAAAGTAAAGGATGTTGTGGATCCAATGACATCTTCAAAATGACTAATCGTATGCCTGCTCTCCGTATTCCTCTTACTTTGCCCCCGATACAGTGTGCTATCGCTAAAGTCCTCACATTTCCATTTCCTCACATTTAGTTATGACGATGCCTTAAGTAGATGGGACAGAGTTTTTGTCCTGGATTTTTTTTTGAGTCCCGGGAAAGCTGGACGCTTTGAAAAGCTTTAGCGTGAACTGAAAGCATTCTTATCCTGGTAAATCAGAAATCAACGATTTCTTAGCGTTCATTGTAAACCACGACAACAGCCGTACGATCCGGACTATTGGTATAATGTCCTTAGCAGTGCGAGATGTCTTAAAAAAACTTCAACGACTAATTCTTAAGAAAAGAAGCGTTATCATAGTGATGGGACAAAAAAACATTGGGATTATCCTGATTATCTCCTTGTTGATCGTGAAGCCGGGCTCTCTTTAGATCTGAGAAACGTGGATATAAGAAGGCATAAACCACGTTTCGAAGCTGGGACCCAGAGGAAGAAACGTAGGTAGAAGACCCCATATGGGAGTAAGATATGGGCATAATAAGTTTCGCATACAAGATATGAAACAAAATCGTCATTATTCCTCCCAGTATATCTGGGTTCTCATTCAAGGTATCCTATAATCACGTAGATTTTCTTTATTTCAATGAAAGAGCTGCTTTGTGGTTCCTACTAGGTATAATACAATATCTTTTCAATTTTGTTCTGGTTATTTATGCAGTGAGGAGGGTTATGATGTCATGCAAGCTTTTCCCAAACACCTGGATTTCACACAATGGCAAACCCGTAAATATGAGCTTATCATTTCAAACAAGAGAGTTATAAGCCTGTCGTTCTGAAGGCGAACGTTCCATGGTAAAGGATACTGCCAGAGGATGTGAATTAAGTACATATTGTTGACTCTGTCGGAGTCGGAAATTCGGAAATTCATCCAAGCCAATTTCCATGAGTACCATTTGTAAGTCACTAGCATAAATCGAATTTATCTATGGTCTAATTAGTTACTTACATGAGAATATGCCTAATATCCATTGTTTATTGGTTAGCGGGTCCCATGATCACCATACAAGGAAAATTGACTTTTCTGGGGTGGTTCTTCAGTATACCCATTGGCGGTAAGTTAAGTAGGCGGCTATTTCACCGTAGGAGATGAATGGCGAGCGGTGGAAACGTGATTCAAGTTGGATACCTTTGCTTCAGTTGGTTGTCAGAAACATACGACACCGCTTGACGCCCATCTCGGAGTGCCTTCGTGAATGATACATTTCTGATGAGGAAATTCAAGAAGGCTTTGTGAATTATTGACCACATTCCCGAGAAGACGTCGTCAAAAAGTGCACCGTTCGAAATTCCTCAGCTTAATTTATGATCTAGGAATTCTGGAGCGAAGGAGGTCTTCGAGTTACCCGATCCCAATCTCGAACACCCATACCTTCCTACAGGCGATTACATTTTTTTTTGACCCCTTTGTCTCAACTTTAATGAAGTTAATCCAGTCCAGTCCTTATGATATTTCCTGTTTTAGTTCTTTTTTCTCATGGCCTTTGATCATTGAAACCCCTAAGACTCCAGGGATCATTTTCACCAATGTTTTCCCCATTGAATATCCGGCCAAGTATATACTCCATAGTAACTAATAGTTACCTACGCTGTGCTACGAGAATGAAATAGGTACTCTTCGCTCTGCTGCTACAATTATGTAGCCTTTGAGTAGAGTTTTTTGTTAAAGAGTCTCCTAGATAATAAGTCGACTCAGTAAGCCAACTATTTTCGCCCAGTTCTTTTGCCTAGTAGAAAAATTTACCTGAACACATTCTGAATTTTCTTAGCTGCTTCACCAACTTGTGGGTCGTTGAGGTTGATGTCGACTTCCTCCTGAATAATACTTTTTCTTTTGAACGACTTCCAATGGGCAACAATGGCATTCATAATTTTTGAATGCCCCTAGGCTATAGGCGAGTTCAAGTGAATGCTAAAATTGTTTCGAAGAAAAGCGTTTTGTTCTCAAACGGAGCGCTCGAATGGGTGAAAGGCGGACGGCCAAAGATTATTTCAACGAGACAGCTCTCACCCATCAGAGTTTAATTTACCCGTGATTGCTTCTTCACACTCAGCTTGAGTACATCCGTAATGGAAGGATTCTACGAGAATGCTTTGATTGTAGGGAAACGCAGCTTGAGCTCAAAAAACTGGGATCACCACTGAATTATTCAAGACGAATAGCTTAGAAAAGGGATGTGCTGCATGGAGCAACATCAATCACTCCGTTTGTTCTAATCCCTCAGCTTTCGTATGTCCGGCATGCACAACATGCCAATTCTACTCTAGAGGGAATCTGAATTACAAATTTATTTTTTACGAATTTTACGGTGGTTGTGAAAGCGTCGGCATCGAAAACGTTAGCGATCGGAGGAATGAACACCTCTTTCTCCCCCGGCCACCTAATATCATCCTCGTTCTTGGTCTTTTTTGTTTGTTCATGCATCAAAGATTTTGCAGATACGGAGCATTCTCATATTACTCCGGACCAACGCCTGAAAAATCGGTGACGTAACGAGAGACATCCTCTATCCTCCCTCCCCCTCCCCTCGGCAGTTGGCAGTTGACACGCTTTCAAAGTTGAGAAGCACTCAAGCGAGTAGCAGAATGAAAGCACTAATGTGATTTTGGAGTAGTGCCAAGTCATATGGAACTACCTGGAATACCTCTTATTGTCATCATTGCCGTGGACTACGAAAAAATGGAGTGATGTGGCAAGAAAACTAGCACTCATGAGAACTCATCGTATAGAGACCGCTCTTCGTCATCTGAAGACCCCCTTGGACTTACTTCTAAAAAAATCCTACCAGAGAGTCGGTGCTCGTCACAAAAATTTGAACTTCTTGTGCAGAATCAAGGAATTTAGCTCATTCTCTAGCAACCTAGAAGGTCCTTAACTCCAGTTCACTGGGTAGAATCAACAAAAAAAAATAGAAGCCGTAATGTTTTGTTTCTACAGATGCCCCTCAGCCAACCATGGGATCTGCTTATCCTTCCCTAAAAGCCTGTCCCTCGGATAAACAAAACACTTTCGCATGGAAGAGTATCTTCGTTAGGCTAATGGAGTGAGTGACAAGCTCTCACTCCTTCGAGGCTTGAGGCTTAAGGCTCGACATTTAGCACTCGGAGATCGTGTAAATATGTCATTAAGGTGATCACACCTACCTGTGGAGGAGATGTAGGCGGTTGAGCGATGCTTGCCATGTGAAGAGAATAAGCAGGAAAGGCGGAGTTGAAGCCAAGCCGGAACACCTCGTCACTCTATGCAGAGTGAGAGAACGAGAGACTGGGCAGTTTGCTTGAGGATACTCACTCATTAAATGTCAACGTACAAGCCTACTTGAGAAGAAATGCTGAGCTCAGTTGATTTCATGACAGCGCTCGATTACACTGTAGCCCTTGAGTGACTGAGCAAAAATTGGTGCAACTTTAGCGAGTTTTATTCAGCAATCCTTGCCCTCCTGAGTATCGAACTCATCGTGATCATAAAATATGATAACCCATTTTTTGATCAATAAAATTAGTCAAAAAATAAGGGCGAAGAGTTGGCTCAGTTTTGCCTGTTCCCATCGAAGGCGTTGTTGCAAACTTGCGAAAAAATTTTCAGATTGGTCACTTGTACGGACTCACAAGATTGGCGATTTAAGGGCAAAACGTCGGTCTCGGACGGGACTAGTAACCCGTACTTCTGCTCTGTGGGCACGGTGCTCCTTATATTTTACATTATCGAGATCCTCGATGTGGCTAACTATTTTAGAATGCGTAAATGCATTAAACGGAGAAGAATTCGAATGAGCTATGTTATTTATGTAGAGCCTGACAGAGTGAGGTTGGCTGACCGTCAATCAGACATGCCGACTCAGTGGGTAGGTTTGTCAATAGACTTCCATTTAAAGAGGAAGTTGCACACCCCTTCTCATAGTAGGCGAAGATCTCTGCATGACTACATGGATTCCTCGTTTCTGACCTTGTTCAGCTGAATTCCAGCTACAAACTTGCCCCNCCCCAGAACTTCAACATCAAATTAGTAAGGTATTCTAACGACTAGAAATCTTATGGTCACTTCCTATGACATCTGCAAGTCTGCTTCAGTCTGAAGTAGTAGACCATTTGAACCTTCTGGAACGCAGACGAGCCCATAAAAACAAGAAACGTCAAAGACGTGACTGGAATGAAGCCTATTCAAATGAGAGACGAAAATCGAAAAAACCCTCACCCTTCCTTATCACCACTGCATCGTGATGGATTATTCCTCAGGGGAATTGCCGTGAATTAGGCTCGTTTGTAGGGCAAACTGAATTTTGCTTGTAGAATAAGTAATGCCTTAGATTTGTTAAAGCCAACGATTAGTCTGTCTCCAGTAATACCGTCTTCGGTGCCTATGGGCATTACCAAGCTGACACAAGCCCGTATTACTGAAGACAGACTAATCCTTGGGTACTACAAAAAAATTAAAATGACGGATTCCCCCTCATAGGTGAATTCATCCTTTTTACTCTTTCTAATTCATACTTTTTTGCAGAGCTACGTACCCGAATGGTGTGATTGGAATTTTGTCTTTAAAATTTTATTATTCAGGAGAAACGTAGACAAGGATCATGACTAAGGTATTGTCCAATCATGTTAGTAAAATAACTCGAAGCCGTGTCGAGCCTTCTATTTCCAACAGGAATAACTCATTCATCCCACCATCCGAGTGCTTCTTCTTTTGCTCTTTGCTCCGCATCCCTCTTACTGTAAAAAAACATAAGGTAATTTTTAATTATATCTGTAAAAAGGAAGGCGAAATTTATAAACTGACCGTCGAGCCAGTTTCCCTTCCCGAGTTATACGATCGTACTCCTCCCTTTCATCGTCAGGTACATAGCGATTCCTATCAGGAATTCGTGGGTCCTGGTCGTCTTTCCAGTCTTCTACTAAGTCTGGAAGACGCTTCTCCAAAGAACGAACCCCTTCAATGTAAGCTTGCATGGCTTCGCTCTTGGTCATACCTGAAGGAAGTCGTATAACTTGTTTGCGCCCACGATTGCACCATAACCCAGTCTCTGTTTCTCGGCTACTAACATAATAAAAGAATTATAAAAAAATTGTAGCTTTGACCAGTCCTGTCTTAAGGTTCTGATTTTTATTCCAAATCAAAGCCGATTGTGCATTTGAAATTTTATCGGCTAGTTAATGACTTGTGGGGTCATGTGTTGTAGTTGTTTTACTTATTGTCAATCCCGAATGAGGGCCACCAAGTATGGCTCCCCTTGTAAAATTTTAAGCTACTTAATCCTGAAAGATTTGCTAGAATTCATGTTAAGGAGTGCCCAACCGCTCACATTCATTCTTTTGACAGATTTATTATAGTCGTCTTGTGCTTGACTACCAGATTCCAGAAATATAGTTACATTTCAAAGGTTGAGGTGGTATAATGGCAAGTGGCCCACTATCATACACGCATAGTCTGAGGATCGAATCCGAGCACGATACATGCCCGGGACAACCAAGCCTTCACGGATCGGTAATTTACCAGACTCGTCTGGGAGGATAGATATACCGACTTCTGCATCGGTTGGAAACCGCAGAATATAATACTGTTCAAGTACCCCATTTAAAACGCCTTGATCCTGAATAGAAGTTGTACGCAGGAGTCCACCCCAAAATACGGGCTGACCAACACCAAAGACTTTATCCTTTGATTTTGTAACTCAAAAATGCTTCATTGATTTCTCTTACCATGACTCTCTTCATTGTGACCCTAATTTATTTCGAAAAGGCCCACAAACGATTAAAACAGTTCAACGGAATACTTTTTCTAGAATTTTTTTAACAACAAAAGTAAAAAGAATTCTACCACGAAGTCCTAAAAGGGAGGAAAATTTGAAAGCTCACAGAATTGCATCAGTATCAAATCCGGTTCAGTGTTTACCAAATTCGACTACAGTCAATTATTACAAACCCATTGAACGCGAACTAGACAATACAGCGTTTTGTTGTCGAACCGATGTTCAGACCAGACATTTATTTACAGTCCCAAGTACAGCTTTCCTAACTGAGCTTTGAGGGAGAAGGTCGGGGACGGCTTGATTTGCTGCCAAATTCTCAGAGCATTGTGACAAACTTCGACATGGATTATTACCCTGATAGGACGGTGTGGGCAAAACCCAGTCACAAGTTTGAGCCTGATTCGAGGCTTAACCCAATACCTTATTTATGAATGAAACCCATAAATTATTACATATCGCTATGAGCCGAAGTGGTGTAGAGACAGGTGGCGCACTATCACACACATGCCCAAGGATCAATTCCCGGATCGGTGTTTGCTCAGGTAACCCAAGCTTTCCATCCCTCCGTGGTCAATTAATTAGTAACGGACTCGTCCGTAAAGTACCGACTGTAGATCGGGTGACCACTTCAAGTCACAGAATAAGCCCCAAAACCGGCTCGTACGGCTCTGAATGGGAGTCGGGGCGCATCCCAAGAAAGGGCTCGATGAACACCGAAGAATTTATCATATCAACTATGAACATTTGGAGAGTTTATTCGGAGTACAAAAACATATTGAAGGTATTCCTGGAATCGACTATGGAAAATGATCAACCTTGCCTTTACATTTATTCCATGCATGCCACTTCTCGTTTCCTTTTATCCAACTCCACATCCACGATTCTTCAGCTGGATCCATATAGTCCATTTCTGAAGAAAATTACACAAATTACTGAAGTACAACCCGAACGCAAAAGGTTTCCATTTTCTTCGCTTTCTTCTACATGATATTCTATTTTTATCAGTTGGTCTTCGAAAAAACCTTAAGGGTAAATCGCGTGACTACTAATCCTGCCTCAGATAAAGTACGGCGGTACTGTCTTTGAAAGACTTCAACGATTAACGGATAATTTTGGAGCAGCTCAGGCGTGTCTCCTTAGAAACCTTTAAAAAACAGAAATAGCTCTTATGAATGAAAAAAAAATGAAGGCGAACACTGACTTGGAACATTGATATTTCCTACAACAGCCTGTTGATATAAGCCCCATAGACCGTACGTCTCCTGGTCAAATCGAATCAACAACTCGAATTGGTGCTTCAACCCCTAAATTATTTCATTCTAACTTTCATTGCTCTAAAATTTCATTTTGAAATCCTTGGAATAAAAGGCATTGTTAGACAGAACTTGCAATGTTTGGTGGCAACAGGGAATTTCAACAGAGACTTGCAACAGACGTGGACAACCACATTGTTATGAATTTTGAAAAAAACAATCACTTGGATGTTCTTGAGGTTTCCTATTCAGTGCATTTCCAGCTGCTTAACATCCTACTGGTACTGTACCTAGGCGTGAGCATGTTAGGAAATATCAGCGGTTGTGATCAGGGAGATCAGGAGGGAAAATGTTAGTCACAGTTCACGATAATTTTG